CAGAGGGGGTACTCGGTCGCGGCCTTTCGCAGTGGGGGCTGTATCGCTCCACTGTCGGCGGTGGGCCCGACCTGAGGAGGTCGCTTTTCAACACCAGCACACCTCACCCGCTCAGAGGTCGGTACCTCAACAAATACCAATTGAAACAAGGAAGGGAAAGAAAAAAAATTACGCCCTGGCGAGATGTCGTGCATGGGCGCGCCCTGAAGGCCTAACCTTCCAAACCCCTGCTAACACGGAAGAGGTGACTGGAAGGGTTGGCGTAGCCGGCCTCCCCGAAAAAGAAAAGAAAACAAGGTGAAACCCGTTGGAACGACGCAGCGACACAGCTTAGCAAAAACCCAGTGAAACTTACGGAACCGTACATACAAATTTAGCGGCTCTTTTCAAACAAGAGGGAATAGGCCATAGCCTGAGCCAGAGACGGCCTGATGCGCACCCCACAAAGGGCCACACCCCGAGGCACTTTAAGTTTCAATTCCAGAACGGCCCTTGCATCGAGGCAGCGACTAAGGCTTTTGCAAGTTCAGTGAACAAACAGAAGTGTGCCGTTTGCGAGCAACAGCTTTGCGGAGGCCGTCAAATTCAAGCAAGTTTGTGTCTGCCAGTTTTCTGAAATTGTCTACGAGGTAAGCTGAGTTTGGGCTACGAGGAACCAGTCACTTGATCATGTTGTCTCTAAATTGTTTTGATGATGATGGTGGCTTTACTGTTTTGCCTGTTGTTTCCGATCACTTTGACTGCAGGCCTCAGCATATGAGTAATCAGTCGAGCCGGCTTGTGTTGTCTTGACGTACTCACACTGGGGGTTTTGTCCGCATTTACGCTCCTCGTTATTTTGACCTTGGTACTTATACCTCCCTTGTTGAGAACAGCCGGACTCACAAAGGGGTACGCCTAGAAGCGAAGGGGAACCCGTGATGGTTCACCTTTTGTTGTTTTTGCTGCTTACCGTGGACTTCCTCTCTACGATGTGCTCAGGCACAATACCCTTCTAGCAAAGCAAAGGGAGCTTTTCGAGTTTGAAAGCACAAAAGTATTTTGTTTGATCTCGAGTTTAAATTTTCTACCGGTTTGATCCTGAGTTATGATGTTGATTGATACTCACCTATTGTGTTTTGATCCAGATGGGCTGGCTTGCTTCGTTTCCTGACCCAACCTTAGTCAATCAATAATTTTTCTTGGCCCCCATGTTGCAAGAAGGCTTGGGTACAGGCCCCACTCCGAGCTCGCAGCTGCAATTTTTCAGTGACGGTGACAATCGCATTTTTCCGTTTTGAAGACTATTTGCACTTATGATGTGAATCCTGGTTTGTATACGACAGCCGTGCGTGCTTTTTCAGACCAGTAGCCAACGTGCAAGTGTATGGACCAAACTATGCCACACGTTGCATTGGCTCTTGCTTTCATGCTTCTGCATGATTGCAATTGTGGATGAGTTTTGAGCTAATTAAGTTCCCCATTTTTTTAAGAGAGTGTAGGCCTAAGCCCAACAGAACGAAACAAAACCAACAAACACGAGAAACAACACTAAAACGAGCGTTGTAGTCTATGGAAGATCGATTGCTTTCTGTAGCCCCCTTGTCCGGGGAGGGTGCTGGCCAGAGCTTTGGCTGAGCCCTTTACTCCGTAAGCAATTTGTAATGGGACCTGCTTGCAGGGGGATGGCCGAAGCCTACCATTCCATTTGTTCATGAGTGAGTTCCCGGAGCGCATGTGTCATGGAGCGCATATCTGCAGATGGATCTGGGGAGAATGGTATTTGCTGATTTAGCCCGTGGTCGTGCATTGCCCGACACAAAGGTGATGTTGCTTACTTGGCCCAGTACCTTGAAAGGGAAGGTTCTGGGGAAGCGCCTTTTTGCACAGGTTTCCGTGAGGATGGCGAGATGTCTTGCCTTATGCCAATTTTTCGGTGTCTGGCCTGCCTAGTTACTCAGTTCAGGCGCCAAGTACTCTTTCGAGGGCGGTTTTTGGACAGGATCTTCCAATAGGCCCCAAATTGTTTATGCAACCACAACTGTACGGACTGCAAAGAGTGAGTGAGTCCGCGGTTAGCTGCACGGAGTGGTGCGCGCCAAGGCCGTGCGCAAGGCGCCGATCCCTCCCGGCTTCTCCAGAAGCTCCGCAATCGTCATTGCTTCCTTCACTTGGAGTTCGCGCTGGCGAAAGCCCCAACCCCAGAGACAACGTTCCGAGGTCGGCGAAAGGCCCAGTTAAAGCAAAAAGGCATTCAAGTCAACAGGCGCTAAACCCTACAACTAGAGGCCTTGAAAAGCCACAACCGAAATCGTCCAAACTCCACGTCACGGCGTACGAAGCGTTAGTGATACCAAGCAGTCATTGTTCGGTACAGCTGATTAATCGAACCGGTCACATTATCCTGAATTTGAGGTTCCAACTTTCGATCTTTAGTTGCCAGAGTCTTAGGGTATCAAATCAAACTTTAAAGTTGTTAAATTGAGCTCCTGATGAAGAAAAGTCCACAATTTCCTTTCCCAAATTCCTGATGTTTTAATGCCGCTGGATGTGAAGAGTCTTTGACCCGTAGTCTGTCAAAACAAGCTTTCTCAAATCTAGGCGGTTTCATGAATCAGGAGCTGATATGACGGTAGTTGCAACTAAGAACGAATTGCAGCCATCATCATTGTTGCCATTTTCGTCGCTCTTCCAATAATAAACACCCCGCATAGCGATAGATACGTAAGGTTGCTTTGCCATGGAGGTCTGTGTGCATGTAGAGTATTGATTTTGTAGTTTGCTCAGTTCTGAGAACGAGCATTTTCGGCGCTGACATCAACCGAGTCGCTGTGAGAGAAAGAGAGCGATAGATACTCCTCCCGGAAAATCTCCATTTCCAGAAATTCCTTGAAGACTACTTAAAGCGGTCCCCGTAATACCAAATAAGGCAGGCTTTGAGGTCATCAGAGGGGTTACAATGAGGAATCCATAAAAGGAAATAGGGATCCCATCATGTAAATTCCGAAAGCAGTTTTCATTAGTTTAATTATGATATTACAGAATGTAGGTTTGATCTGAAGAAATTTCAGTCGATCTATTGAAAATCCAAGTCGATGTTACGAATTTTAAGCAGATTTTGCGTCGATTTCGAATAGATGCAATTATGTAGGTTTTCATTAGATTTGGATTGATTTCGGTTCGAGTTTAATGGACTTCTGTGAATTTATTACGATTTGGAATCCATGTCAATCGGGTTCTATATATAAAAGATCGTGATCATTTATTCCAATTCCTTTGATGTTAATCAGGAGTTAATTAGATTTGCACGGATCGTAAAAATGAATTCGAAGTAGACTTTACTGGGACCTACTTAGCCGCCAGTATAAGTCTTTGCAATAAACAAATACATCAATAACAAATACACACGGAGGATTTTTGTCTGGGAAGACGTTTATTGTGACGGCAGCCGATGATTATTGTAGCCGCCGCCGCCGCCGCGGCCGCTGCTGCTGCTGCTGCTGCTGCTGCTGCAATGTGGCCGCAGACAAAGCGTGGGACCGGGCCTGGGGCATGGTCCAGAAGGAACGAGCCGTGAATCTGACTTGCGCCACACGGGACCTGCGCATGCGGGACTGGGCCCGGTATTGTCAAAATAATTCTGTGCATCAGCGAGGAACCATTCATTGTCTGAATACGGCATGACTTGAGTTTGTGCCTTGGCCGGCCATCGCCATTGAAAGCATCGATTCCAGAAGTCTCGGCCCAAGGTATATGCATGTGACGGGCCCGGGACGCGAAAAACGCAGTTCCATAGTACATGATGAACTGTATATGAAGGGCAAAGGTAGCTGCCCCGTGCCCTCCCATCGTCCAGGTGAGACATACATGCATGCATGTACGTGTCCGTGGCATGAGCTGTCGGCACAGGATGTTGATGTTCAGCGCCAGCGGCAAATCTCAGGCAGGAGTCTTGCGAATCGTTTGCTTGCGAACGTGCAAGACCTTGCAAGACATGTTGGGTGTTTCTTATCCTTCGCGCTTGTTCGCAGCGTTTCACTTTGCCCATGCTTGCAGCCTTTGATATTTCACAGTCAGTTTTTGCGCAATGACCGGCAGCAATCAAGCAGCAGGCAAGCAGTAAGACAGGCAACAACATGAACATGGTGTGTTTAAGAGTCTGCCAGCGCCAACGGGATGCAAGTTATTTTTCAAACTACTGTTGCCCTAAGGCGATTGCAGCAACACGTTAACATGAACTCGCCACGTCATACATTGGTGATGTACAATGAGCGACGCAGGCGGGCAATCTTGAACTTGGTGGTTAGTGGGGTGGTTCTTTTGGAACTTTTGATGAATTTATCAACCTAGCGTTCCCGATGAACTTACAGTCCCGCAAAAATGAGTGGTTGACGTGCTGCAGAAAATTGGGTCAAGATTGCACACGCGTGGCTAGGTGCAAGGCCATAATTAACAATTCCCAACCACGTAGTACCCCAACTTGCTTCCTGGTGTGGTCTGGCCATCCTGTTCGGCACTAGCATGTTTGTGAGCACATTGGAACTCAAGTGGTTGCTTTTCATCTATACCTCAGGCGGCAGCGAAGGATCGCCAGCAAGCGATGGGTTGGTGAACGTGTGGGATTTCATCGGTCGCTACCCCAAGAACAGCTGTTGGTGTCGACGTGCCTTGTCATTTGATGTGTCGTGATTTGAGTTTTGGAGGGTTTCGTGAGGCGATGATTCAGATAGTCCAACTACATCGCGAGAAAGTTCCTCATTGTCACTGGGGTCAGAGGAGGTGCAGCTGCAGGTCTTGCATCTTCGATTCATTTGGTAGCTCTCCAGCCATTGAACCTGTTGTGTTATGTTTGGAGATATTCTGTCACATGCTGCTTCTGAACAATAGAAGTGCCACGAACTACGGGAGCTTGAACTTGGAAAATCGTGATTCCTCAAAATGTTGTTGATGCGTCCTGCGGCGGAGTAGTCCGAGCGAGTTGTGCATTTCATGCAGCCATGCGGACCAGAAGCAAGAGACACATGTCTTCGGTCTATCACTCACGCTTGCGTCAGATTCCTTCGGAAGACTTCGAAGAGCCGTGTGAACCTCTTGGCACATCAGGCTGGGCTAGCCCCAGGTTCGACCCAATGCAGGAAGAAAAGTCTGACACCACAAATCGGGTTCAGGTGGTACCGCTGCTTTCTACGCGTTGCGCTATCGACACGGCAAGCAGCCGGCAGGCATACCCCGCGATTTTTACATTGGCAAGGATGTGGCTCATGCCAGCCACTTGGGTATCAAAGGGTCTTGGCATAGAGCAGATTACGTCAAAGGAGCTTGCACAGAGAGACCTGTCAATGCAAGAGGGCGAGAGTAGCGACGATTTTTCAAATCAAGGTTATTTTGCGTGTTTGGGCCAAAGCTCAGGTGACGAATTGGACTTCTATGCACGGCTGCGTGAGGCCGCTGTTTGCGTGTAGATTTTGGTGTGCAAGCGATTTTTCACGAGACGCTTAAGTGTGTCGTGCTTGGGTTTAGGAGGTTCAAGCAAGTGAAAGGTCCTGTCATCCAAGCAGAGAGGCAGCGCAATCATATTTAGAGGCTCCTTTGTTGGAGCTGAACGACACGCATCTAGATGCTGGCATCTTCAGCGCATGTCCAGTCTTGATGATTCATCGTCATTGCCACATGCCAAGGGTTGGGCGCGACGTCTAAGTTGCACGCATATTTTGCGTCCAAGGTGCACGGGGGGTTTGCGTCTAAGGTGCACGCGACCTGTCGTAATCGACCACCCTCTCGCTGTTTTCGGTGGGCGGCGGCGCTGGCGCGCGGAGCGTCCGTAGACTTCTCTTCGGAATCGGCAGCGCTGGCGGCGCCACGGCAACGCCTTCGCGCAAGTACGTTGCGGCGCCTACACCGGCCACACACAGCACAGGACCTACACCGCATCAGGTACGCCACAGCAGCTACACTGCCCACGTAGTCCGCGGCACCTACACCGTGCCACGACTGCAGCACCTGGAACCATGGAGTGCATTCGAACACGAACGTTATAATGGTTTGGGCATGGATGCACTGCTGACCGTATGCTCTTGGAACACGAATGTGACTATTTCTTGGGCATGGATGCTCTTATCATCGAGCGCACTCGAACACGATGGTGATTATGGTTTGGGCATGGATGCTTTTATCATGGAGTGCAGTTGAGCACGATCGTTATTATGGTTTGGGCATGGATGCTCTCAAGATCGAGTGCACGCGAACACGATCGTTATTATGGTTTTGGCATGGATGCTCTCAAGCTCGAATGCACTCGAACACGAACGGAAGTATCGCTTGGCGATGGGTCCTCTCATCATCGAGTGCACTCGAACACGAACGTTATGATGGTTTGTGCACGTAGGCTCTGGCAACCGTATGCTCTTGGAACACGAACGTTATTGAGGTTTGGACATGGATGCTCCCAACATCGAGTGCATTCAAACACGATCCATCATTGAGCGCACTCGAACACGCACGTTATCATGCTTCGGGCATGGATGCTCTCAGCGACGAGTGCACCCGAACACGAACAGCATTATGGTTTGGGCATGGATTCTCTCTTCATCGAGTGTACTCGAACACGAACGTTATTATGGTTTGGGCATGGACGCTCTGGTGACCGTATGCTGCTGGAAGAAACAAGATAGCGATGCTTTTGACAACGGATAAATCCCGGGCAAACGCCCAGGTCCAAAAACCCCTCAACCCCAAACCCAAAATTCAAAACCCCAAACCCTAAGTCCAAGACCCCCAAACCTTAAATCCTAAATCCAAAAGGACATTTTCTTCCGTGCCTGCACTGCTGTGCGATGCGCGTGTCTAAATCCAAAAGCCTTCAACCCTAAACCCTGAGCCCTAAATCCAGAGCCCCCCTAAAAACCCTAAAACCTGAACCCTAAATTCAAAAGCCTGAAACCCTAAACCCTAAATCGAAAACAAAGAAAAAGTGAACCTTAAGTCCGAAACCCCTAAACCCTAAATCGAGAACCCCTAAACCCTAAACCCTAAATCCAAAATCCCTCAAACCGAAATCCTAAACCCTAAGTCCCAAACCCCTAAACCCTAAACCGTAAATCCCAAAACCATAAACCCTAAACCCTAAATCCAAAACCCCTTGACCCTAAACCAAAAATTCTAACTCCAAAACCCTTCAAACCTAAACCCTAAACCCTAAATCCAAAACCCTCCAACCCTAAACCCTAAATCCAAAAACCCTAAATCCTAAATCCACAACCCCTAAATTCACCACCCCTGAACCCTAAATTCAAAACCCTTAACCCTAAACCCCAAATCCAAAACCCCTAAACCCCAAATACCCCAAATCCAAAACCCTTAGACGCTAAACCTTAAATCCTAAACCCCTAAACCCCTGCAACTCTAAACCCTCAATCCAAAACCCTTAACCCTACATCCGAAATTCAAAGCCCTAAATCCAAAACCCCGAAACCCTTTGTCCCCCTTTGTCTGAGCAGCCACCTCTCAGCCCCCGGCGGAAAGGCAGCTCATCCGATTCAAGAAACTACCCGTCCCAGTCCCGTGTTGGGACAGGGCACTGACTCCAAACTCTGGAATGTTTCGACACGACCCCATCAGGACAGTGCCTCGTGAGAAACGCCTCGACCCGTCGATGGACTGCGTCTGAGAACAGCAAAGGATAACAAGCCAGTTTAACCTGCAAGGCTGAAGAGTGTGGCCTAGTCTCCGTCGCCCTCCAGCGCGTACCAGTGTACCTCGTGACCGCTGTCAAGATCTGCGTCCACCAACGAACTCGCTGGCCAGTAGACACCTGCACCAAATGGCCGTTTGCCAGAAGGTCTGTCTGGCACCAGACTCCCTCCTTCAAGATTGGTGGTGGAAAGTCATTGTCCATGCAAAAAGCCAGAAAAACTAAATCCAAAACCCCTAACCCTAAACCCTAGATCCAAAAGCCTTCAAGCCTAAACCCCTAAACCCTGATCCCAACCCCTCACAAACCCGAAACGCTAAACCCTAAAATCAAAAGGCTTAAACCCTATACCCTGAATCAAAAACCCCGAAGCCCTGAACCCTGAGTCCAAAACCCCTAAACCCTCAATGGAAAACCCCTAAACCCTAAACCCTAAATCCAAAATCACTCAACTCCGAACCCTAAACCGTAAATCCAAAACCCGTAAATCCTAAATCCAAAACCCCTAAACCCAACAAATCCAAAAGCCCTAAACCCTAAATTCAAAACCCCTTAATGCAAAACTTCCAAACCCCAAATACCACAAATCAAAAACCCTTGAACTCCAAACCTTAAATCCTAAACCCCTAAACCCTAAAGTGTCAGCAGTAAATCCAAAACCCTTAAACCCTAAACCCTAAATCCAAACCCCGAAACTCTGAACCCTAAACCCTAAGTCCAAGACCCCTGAACCCCTACACCCCAAAACCCCCAACTCGCAAACCCCTAATCCCTAAATCCAAAACCCCTGAACCCCTACACCCCTAAAACCCTAAATCCAAAACCCCAAACCCTAAATCCCAAACCCCTAAACCCTAAGCCCTAAATCCCAAACCCCTCCACCCCAAACCCAAAATTCAAATCCCCAAACCCTAAATCCAAAACCCTCAAATCAAAATCCAAAAGCCGTCTAACCCTAAACCCTAAATCCAAAAGTCTTCAGCCCTTAACCCTCAACCCTGAATTCCAAACCCCCCTAAACCCTAAACCCTAAATTCAAAAGCCTTAAACCCTAAACCCTGCATTGAAAACAAAAAAGAAGTGAACCTTAAGTCCGAAACCCCTACACCCTAAATCGAGATCCCCTAAACCCTAAGCCCTAAATCCAAAACCACTCAACCCCAAACCCTAAACCTTAAATCCAAAACCCTAGACCCTAAACCGTAAACCGTAAATCTTAAACCCCTAAACCCTAAACCCTAAATCCTAAATCCAAAACCCCTTGACCCTAAACCCAAAATTATGAATCCAAAGCCCCTCAAACCTAAACCCTAAATCCAAAACCCCTCAACCCTAAACCCTAAATCCAAAACCCCTAAACCCTAAACCCAAAAGCCCGCAATCCCTAAACCCTAAACGCTAAATCCAAAACCCCTAAACCCTAAACCGTAAATCCAAACCCCCTAGACCCTAAAGCCTAAATCCAAAACCCCTAAACCCCCAAACTCTACATCCAAAACCCCTGAAGCCTACTAAACCATAAACCCTAAATTCAAAACCCTCGAACCCTAAACCGTAAATCCACGCCCTAAGCCCGGAACTTTAAACACGAAATCCCGAACCCTTAAACCCTAAATCCAAAACCCTGAAATCCTAAACCCTGAACCCTAAAGCCAAAACCCCGGAACCCTAAGTCCTAAATCCAAGACCCTTGAACCCCCCCAACTCGAAAACTCCTAAACCCTAAATCCAAAACCCCTGAACCCAAAATCCAAAACCCCTAACCCTTAACCCCTAAATGCAAGCCCCAAACCCTACATCCAAAACCCTTTAACCCTAAACCCTAAACCCTAAATCCAAAACCTTTTAACCCTAAACCCTAAATCCAACAGCGCCCAACCCTAAACCCTAAACGCTAAATCCAAAACCCCTAAACCTTGAACCGTGAATCCAAACTCCCTAGACCCTAAACCCTAAATCCAAAAACCCGCAAACCCCCAAACTCTACATCCAAAACCCCTCAAGCCTAAACCCTAAATCCAAACCCCTAAACTCTGAACCCTAAACCCTAAACCCTAAATCCAAAACCCTCAAACCCTAAATCCAAAACCATTAAATCCTAAACCCTGAACCCTAAACCCTAAATCCAAAACCCCGGAACCCTAAGCCCTAACTCCAAGACCCCTGAACCCCTACACCCCAAAACCCCCAACTCGAAAACTCCTAAACCCTAAACCCTAAAGCCAAACCCTCTGAACCCAAAATCCAAAACCCCTCGACCCTAAACCCTAAATCCAAAACCCCTGAACCCCTACACCCCTAAAACCCTAAATCCAAAACCCCAAACCCTAAATCCCAAACCCCTAAACCCTAAGCCCTAAATCCAAAACCCCTTAACCCTGAAAGCTAAATCCGAAACCCCTAAACCCTAAACCGTAAATCCAAAACCCTAAACCCTGAACCCTAAATCCAAGACCCCTAAACCCCCAAACTCTACATCCAAAACCCCTGAAGCCTAAACCCTAAACTGTAAACCCCAAACCCTTAAACCCTAAACCTTAAATCGAAACCCCTAAACCCTGAACCCTAAACCTTAAATGCAAAACCCTCAAAACCTAAATCCAAAACCCTTAAACCCTAAATCCAAAATCCCTCAACTTTGGACTTTCGTTTGATCTTCGCATCTCAAAAGT